CTGGATGAGGGAATTTCCTGGAGCGGGGAAGTCTCCTGCCACCAGCAACCTCAGCCTACTGCCCCTCCCCACCACCGGTTCCTTTGACCCACTGCTGGCTGGGTGACATGGCTGCCTGAGCCCCATTGCTGGGATAGCAGTGTGAAGCCAGCAATGGGGCTATGGCAGACATGTCACCCAGCCAGCAGTGGGTCAAAGGAACCGGTGGTGGGGAGGGGCAGTAGGCTGAGGTTGCTGGTGGCAGGAGACTTCCCTGCTCCAGCAAATTCCCTCATCCAGGTCTGCTAGGTTTACAGGATCTTTTGAAAAAGCCTGCCCTTTTCGAAAAAACTGTCTCTAGACAGCGGTTTTAGTTTTGACATGGCGCTCTTTCGAAATAGCGCCATGATGTGATTATGCAAATGAAGCACGAGAAATTCAAATCCTGGCTTCATTTGCAATTTTGAAGTGTCTAATTTACATCCCTATGTCAAAAGAGGGATGTAATCTAGACGCAGCGGTAGTGTGAAACTCTACTATTTATATCCAGTCTCTGTTGTACGTTAAAGCTTAATTTGTATGTTTTATTTGCTGGGTAATCTGCTTTGATCTGATTGCTATCCCTTATAATGACTTAAAACATATCTTTTGTAGTTAAACTTGTTTTTGTTTTATCTAAAATCAGTGTGTTTATTAATCATAACTTCAGGCAAAGAGCTGATATATATGTTCTCTCCCCAGTGTGTGTGTGGGGGGGGAGGGAATTTCATGAGCTTTTGCTGTATAGGTCTGTGTGTAGCACAAGCCAGTATAATTTTAGATTTATGCACCAGAGTGAGCAGTGTGTGCCTGAGTAGCTAAGAAGTTCCTTAGCTGAAGCCTCCTGTGCAGAATTGATCACAGTATCTATGTAACTGCAGCTGGGTGTGTCCCTACCTGTATGTGTGCTGGTAAAAGTGCACGCTGGAGCCTGGGAGAGGGCCTGGCAAGCTGGTCACAGCAGTACAGTGTAAAGGGAGCCCAGAGTGGTAGGTCAATGGCTTAGAGGTAGCCCAGTTCCAAGTGACACCACGGGGGAAACATGTTACACTCAGTTCCTGTGAGTCTTCATTTCCACACAGTCCAGGACTGGTTTCCACACTCCCATTCAAAATGAATAGCATGTGGTTCTCTCTACCATTTTCATCTCTCTATACACAGTCCTAGAAAACTAGTTACCAGTGTTGTATTGGTGGCAGAATGGACAGGGGCCGGACTATGTCTCTGTGTGTATTTCTCTTTCTTCCAGGCCATTCAGGGTTCCTGGGTAAATGAGCACTACCAAATCTATGAGGCAAATAGAACCTAGAGGGCCCATTTTTACTTTCATTGACGTGTACAACTGCTATGATTTCAACAGAAGTTGCACCCTTGTAAGGGAGGGCAGAACTAGGCCATTAGTGTAAACAAGAATTAGTCCCATGGATGTTTGACATTGCCAGAATACCACAAAGAACCCTGAGAACAAGCGAGAATTAGATCCTTAGTCTTTTCTTATACACATCAATATACATATTTTTAAAATATTATGACCTTTAAATTAATTGTTTGAGAGACAATATAGCATCTACAAAAGCTAGTGAGAGAGATCTCCTAGTACCGTAAACCAAACTCTACCTTCATTTTCTCACACACATTTCATTTCTATAGACATCTTCAAGAAAAGTCAGCATTGCAAGCAGAAAGCACTCCTGTTTGTTTACTCTATTACAATACTCATCTATCTGGACAAGGCAAAATTCCTACAGAGACACAGATGACATGATTTAAAAACTGCAGTACTTACCTTCATAGGGACTGCATATTCTAAAGATGAGCTCATCTTCTATATGCTTCAAAATATCAAACTTCTCAACATAAAAAACCAGCTTACGCGTCCCACTAATTTCTTCTAGCTGAGTTTTATTTGCATTAAATACCCCAACAGAGAAGATGACGACACCTTGATTTTGTAGCTTTTCTGCTGGAGATTTTACTTCATCCCCTGCCACCCCATCTGTAATCAGGATAAGAAACTTTTTGACACCAGGACGTGCACCCTTGGAAGGCTTGAAATAATCAGACACGAATGTCAATGCGCCTCCTGTTAGTGTAATGTCCCCCATGAGTGACATTCCATCAATAGCACTGAAAATATCACTTTTAGAAGAGTATCGGTTAAGCTGGAATTCTTCCTGGTTTGTGCCGCTGAACTGGACGACCCCAACCTGCACTCGGTCTGCACCAATGTCAGATTTCTTCACCAGTTCTTTCATAAAGCTTTTCATTTTCGAAAAGTTGTCTTGCCCTATGCTTCCAGAACTGTCCACTAGGAACATGATGTCAGCTCTCATTTCTCTGCAGGCTGCAGAAGAAAACAGACGTATATTAGTATAACTCAGTTGGTACATTACAATAAATAAATAGACTTAACGGGGTAGAATGATTTGGTAGGGTTCTTAGGCATCCAGTTTTTTAATCTAATGCCTGGTTGAAAAGGGACCCTGGTTGGCTCTGGTTATTAAAAGTCAGGTCAGTGCCACAGTAGGGACCTGGAGCTGAGGCAGGCTCCCACCTGCCCTGGCTTTGTGCAGCTCCTGGAAGTGGCTGCCAGGTCCCTGTGGCCCCGAGGCACATGTGTGGCCAGGGAGGCTCTGCGTGCTGCCCCTGCTCAAGCACCAGCTCTACAGCTCCCGTCAGCCAGGAACCATGAGCTGCGGGATGGTGCCTGTGGGTACAAGGAACATCCCAGGAAACCCATGTACCTAGGGGCCACAGGTTACCTGGTGGCTGCTTTTTGTGAGCTTTGGTAAATGTCACCTGGATCCCACATTCCAACCTCCTCCCCCAGCCCAGAGGCCCCTTTCCCCCCCCCATCATCCAAACTCCCTCCCAGAGCCTGAACCCAACATTCCACTCCCAGTCTCCTGCTCAGCCCTTAGATTCCTCCTGCACCCCAACCCACATTCTCAGCCCCACCCCAGAGCTTGCCCCCTGCTTCAGTTCAGAGCCTTCTCCCACAACCTGAGCCTCTTATTTCAAGCCTGCATTCCAGCCAAAGTTTTCATCTGCCCATACTGCAACCCCCTGTTCCAGCCTAGAGCTTATACCCTGAACCTTTATGCCAAGCCCTATGCCAGAGTTCACACGCCCAGCTGGAGACTTCATCCCCTTCCTCATCCCTATCCCTTGCCCCAACCCAATGAAAGTAAGTGAGGGTGGAGGGGAAATATTGACAGTGGAAGGAAGAACAGAGTGAACACAGTTCAGGGCCTCATGGAAGGGGAGGGCAAGGAGGCAGGGCAGGGGACTTTGCTTATGTGGGATTAAAAAGTTGGCAACCATATGGTCTGGGGTAGATGCGTGGGTGCTAACATTTCTGACTGTGCTGGGAAATGGGGAACAGTGAGGTAGGTGGATGGATGAGTGGGCTCTGTCTGGAGAATAGCAATGTTGGGGAGCCGAAGGCAAGTACTGGGCCCTAACAGGGTTGCTAAGGAGAATTTTGCTAGACATATGCATATGTGCACCTAAGGGAGAGAGCTCTTGTGATTTCATTGGCAGCTGGTGTGTAAGGCAGGGGAAGGCTTTGCTTTCCCAAACTGCCAGCATGGCCCTGCCCCACCAGGTCTACAACAGGTGTTTTGTGGGCAGAGTGCTGCTGCCCCCAGCACCTGCTCTCCCAGTGCTGGAGAGGCTGGGTTGGGCTGGGCAGTGGGGCACACTCTCCTCCCTCCCCCAGTGCATCAGGGCTGGAGGAGGGAGGAGTGGCATCCTCTCGGGCAGGATAGGCTAGGCTGCGCTACGTGGTACACCCTCCTCCCTCCTCCACTGCTCTGGGGCTGGAAAGGCCGAGCTAGGCCAAGCCAGACTGCGTGGCATGCCCTCCTCTGGGGTTAGGGAATCAGGGGCAAGCATGCACCCACTCACTCCCTGCCTGTGGTTGGAAAGGTCAGGGGAGCATACCACATGGGGGAGGGCAGGCAGGAAAGGGCAGGGCCTCAGCAGAAGGGTCAGGACTGGAGGTGGTTTTGGCAGCATGCCTTCCCCAGCCCTGCCTTCACCATCTGCACATGTGTGGTTTATTGTCTGAGCCACTTCCATTTCTTTACAGAAAAAGATTCATTGGTTCACAAGTCAAAACAAGCATAAAAGATTCAGGGATTTACAGCTTCTGGGAGGCAGGGCTGTGCCCCCTGCTTGCTGCCCTCACCAACCTGCCCTCCTCTGGCCACTACACTTGCCAACCCCCCCCCTCTCCCATGACTACTATGTTCACTACCCTCTTCCTCCTCAGCCACTACCTACATCAACCTCCCCTGTTCTGGCCGCTAAAACCCTACCACGAGACTGCTCCTGCACCCTTCCTCCTGACCAGACACCCTACACCCAGCCTGCTCCTGCATCCTCGCTCTGGGCCCAACTCTGTACCCTCACCTCCTCTTGCATACCATCTCCCACCCTGATCCCGTATACCCATGCCTATCCCACTCACTGGGAGAGATAGGTGACACGTGGGGGGTGGGGGAGGCCACAGGGTTCATGCTTCCCTGGAACACTGGGGAGGAGGGAGGCCACGTGGCTGAGGATTGAGGTGGATGGTGGTGGCTGGAGGATACAGATGATATGATGACACCACTCTGTCATCCCACAGGGAAATTTTTTTATATATGTGGAGAGACAGATAAGTGTATGACTTCAACACTAATACTGCACCTGTCAATCACAAACACCAACTTTACATACCTGTCAGAGAATTTAGTCTGCATTTATTTTCCTTTCTCTTTGTGTCTGTGGTGTGTGTGAGGCAGAAGTTTGTAAGACAGTGTTGCACAATAGTCTTCAAAGACAATGAACTTAAATGTCACTGTAGTCTGAGAGTAGCCTGAGAGTAAATGCTCTGTTGGCATCTGAACAGTTGATGACACAGGTATTTATATTGGGGACAACAGCAACATAACATGAAAAGTTGGAAAACACACTACTTGATGTAGGACTACCCCCTTTAGCAGAAAAGCCAGCTTGTTTGTTACACAGTTGAGAAAAAGAAGAAGGAAAAGCAGTGTTCTGATGCTCTGATTGAAACCAAATAAAAATGCTCTTGCTTTTTTAAAGTATACACTGAACATATTCGTAAGAGATATATAAAAAAAGAAAGAAAATGGCATCACTTTTAACTGCCTTGCAGAAAGATACCTTATATGCAAATGTGCCCTAAATATAGTGATACATTTTCATTATTCAGGCAGGAGAAATACGCTTGCTTTGAACTTGAAATTGTTAAAGAACAGGAGGTCCTGAATTCAGTTAGCGCTCTGAGGGGGCAAAATCAATTTTTCCCTTACCTTCCCCAGTACAGATCCTTTGAACAATTTCATTTTTTATGGTTTTCAAGGCGTCAAACTCTTGCACAAAGAAAGGCTTGTTGTTTGGCCCTGCAATTTCATGCAGCTGTTCTTCGTTTGCACCTTTAACACCTACAGCATAAATATTGATCTTCTCATTCCTCAGCTGCTCAGCAGGCTCCTTTACATTGTCATGTGACACCCCATCTGTTAAGACAATGAGGTAACAAGGCACCCCACCAGGTCGCTGATTCCTTGCCTCTTTAAGCAGTGGCTGCATGTAAGTCAGAGCTGCTCCAATATAGGTATCCCCGTATATTTGCCTAATGTTGTCAATGGCTTTCTCTAACTCATTTTTTGTGTTGTAGTCATTAAGTTTAAACTCTGTGCGAAAGTTGTGTGAATATTGTACAGCTCCAAAGCGAACTTTATTCGGTCCTATGTTAAACATCTTAATCACTTCCTTCAAAAAATGTTTGATCTCTCTGAAGGCATCAGAAGAAATGCTTGTTGAGCCATCAATGAGCATATAAATATCAGCTTCCTCTGTGTCCATACATCCTATATGGAAAAAGAAATTGTATTCCAAATTAACGTGGGTACAAAATGTAAAGAGAGAAACATGGAGAGAATCACCAAAGCATATAGGCATGTATTTAGGGCCCAGAGTCAGCCAGTGTTTACACAATAACATATGTTTTGAACACACCTATGGTGCATTTCCACAGTGGCAGAAAATAGAGTGAAGTTAACCAGGCACAAGGAGGCTTAATCTCAATGTAAAGTAATAATGGTTGAGAAATTATGGTTAATTACCTTATGATAATTGGAGTTCTTTAGGGTGCGTGATCCCTATTTGTAAAACAACTGAAGTGCACGTGCACTCCATATGCCTAAGATCAGAAAATTTTTTCAACAGTGTCTCTTGATCTGCACCTACATCCTTCATCTTCTTGTACTCTTGTAAAGGGCATAAGGGATTACACAGACTGACCACCTAGCTGATTTCTTCTCTACCATGATTAGCCCAAGGAAGGGCTCAGAAACAGAGTGGAAGGAGGGTGGGTAGTGGGATAAAGATCAGGATCATACATCTAGAACTACACCAGTTACTATAAAGTTAAGTATCCAGCATTTCTTCAAGTGGCGTATGCGTATTCCAGACTCTCAAGCAACACTCCGTGTGGCGGGCACAGGAAATCCTGCCGTGTTTGGCAGCATGATCCTGCAATCTGAAAGGATGCACCTTCTGAAGTGACTCATTCTAGGGCATAATCCCTAGTTAAATTGTGCACAGGGCTCTATGTTGCCACTCTGTTGAACTCCGCAAAGCAAAGACACTGATATACAGGGGCGGATATAGGGCAGGGCGAACAGGGCAGCCGCCACAGGCCCCGCGCTTCAGAAAGCCCCACGCATGCGCCGTGGCAAAAGGGGGGCCCCGCAGAATTATGCTGCCTGGGGCCCCGCAAAACGGTCATCTGCCCTTGCTGATATAATCTGAACCCTGGTTGAATGAGCACTCTCATCTTATGTCAGAGGGGTCACCATCAACTCACAGCTTGATACAACTTAAAATAAATTTAGAAAATTTTTATGAGGAGACTGCTTCCTCTTTTTTATACTTTTAACAAAGGAGACAAATATTGGGAGATTTTCTGAAGGGTTTTGTTGTCTGTAGATAGCCTGGATGTTGATTGAGCCTGATCATTCTATGTCTATACTGCTTCCCTCTTCCACAAGAGCCTATGCAAATGAAGCGCAGAGTAGAATATAGCCACACCTCATTTGCATAATTAATTAGGAGCCATTTTTGCACAAGAGGTTTTTACACAAGAGCCATTCTTCCTCATTTTTTCAGGAAGAACAGCTCTTGTGCAAGAGGGATGTTTTGCACAAAAAGGAGCCATCTACATAACTCCTTTTTGCACAAAAGCCTCTTCTGCAAAAATGGCCCCTAATTAATTATGCAAATGAAGCATGGTCATATTCTACTCCGCGCTTCGTTTGCATAAGCTTTTGCGGAAGAAGGGTGCAGTATAGGGGAGGGGGAGGCCCAACTCTGTACCCTCACCTCCTCTTGCATACCATCTCCCACCCAGATCCCGTATACCCATGCCTATCCCACTCACTGGATAATGGATCTCCCTGTCTTTTTTTGGTAGCATAATATTTTGGGTGGAAAATAGCTAGGTGTATGACATGATTTAAATGGCTTTCAGAGGGAACTTTTGAAACAAATTTCATCCTTATGGAAGACCATGTAACAGAATCCACCATATGGGCCCCTTGCTCACCTAGTCTTCTGGTAGAGCTCTTTGCATTACCTAAAGGTGAATCTGGTGTTCGATACAGCAACTGATCAGGAATAGTCAACATGAATTCACCAAGGGCGAGTCATGCCTGACCAATCTGATTAGAATCTTTGATGAGGTAACTAGCTCTTTGGATATGGTAAAGTCAGTGGATGTGATGTATCTTGACTTTAGCAAAGCTGTTGATACTGTCTCTCACAATATTCTTGCCAGCAAATTAAGAGAGTATGGATTGGATAAATAGACTGTAAAATGGACAGAAATCTGGCTACACTGTCAGGCCCAATGGGTAGTGATTAATGGCTCAATGTCAGGTTGGCAGTCAATTTCTAGCGGAGTGCCCCAAGGATCGGTTCTAGGACTGGTTTTGTTCAACATCTTTAATGACCTGGATGAGGGGATGGATTGCACCCCCAGCAGGTTTGCAGAGGACACTAAGTTAGGGAGAGAGGTAGATATGTTGGATGGCAGGGAAACGGTCCAGAGTGACCTGGACAGATTAGAGGATTAGGCCAAAATAAATCTGATGAGGTTCAAAAAAGGACAAGTATAGAGTCCTGCACTTGGGATGGAAGAATCCCAAGCATTGTTACAGGCTGGGGACTGAATGGCTAAGTAGCAGTTTGGCAGAAAAGGACCTGGGGATTACAGTGATGAGAAGCTGGATATGAGTCAATAGTGTGCCCTTGTAGCCAAGAAGGAGAATGGAATATTAGGTTGCATTAGGAAGAGCATTGCCAGTAGATCTAGAGAAATGATTACTCCCCTTTATTTGGCTCTGGTGAGGCCACATCTGGAGTACTGTGTTCAGTTCTGGACATCCCCCTTCACACACACACACACACACACACACACACACACAACTATAGAAAGGATATGAACGCATTGGAGAGGGTCCAGCAGAGGGCATCCAAAATGATTAAGGGGCTGGAGCACATGACCTATGAAGAGAGGCTGAGAGGGGATTTGATAGCACCCTTCAGGTTCCTGAAGGGAGGTTCCAAAGAGAACGGAGAGTGGCTGTTCTCAGTATTAACAGAAGGCAGAACAAGGAGCAATGGTCTCAAGTTACAGTGGGGGAGGTCTAGGTTGGATATAAGGAAAAACTATTCCACTAGGAAGGTGGTGAAGCACTGGAATGGGTTACCTAGGGAGGTGGTGGAATCTCCATCCCTAGATGTTTCTAAGTCTTGGCTTGACAAAGCCTTGGCTGGGTTGATTTAATTGAGATTGGTCCTGCTTTGGAAAGGGGGTTGAACTTGATGACCTCCTGAGGTCTCTTCCAGCCCTATGATTCAATGAACTGCAGACACCAACTGCTTCTATGCAAAGGAGGGTGGACCTCCCCATTCTCGCTTTTTCTTATCATGTACTATAGTCATGTTAGACATGACTTGAACATGCAGGGTATGAATGAGTGGCAGGAATCTTTTGCAGGCTTCATGTACTGCCCAGTGTCAGGCGGTTGACGTGTAGCTTGGATTCTTGCTGGGTCCAAGAACTTTGAATCATATATTGTCCTGGAATGACTGTTCATCCGCAAATTCAATTCACAAGCTAATGAACTCAATCATGATGAAGGCTGGTTGGGACACTACCAATTTGGCAACCATTGAAGGTGCTAACAGCTCTCTGAGCAGTATCCTTCCCGACATGAGAATCTACCTGCTTAGGTTTAAGTACCCATTCTCCAGATACTTACTGATGCTCTGTCCCCCACCCTCCTGCTCCTCTCCTATTTATTTCGAGTGTTCACATCCCAAACTCATAACTCCGGTCATCTGAAGAAGTGGGCTGTGCCCGCGAAAGCTCATGATACCATGTACATGTTTTGTTAGTCTATACAGTGCTACCAGACTATGTTATATTAGTCCAAGTGAGGCATCACAGGTGGAGAGTGGATGAAGGCACACAGACAGTTTTTCCACCACATAAGTGATGACAAAACGCTGCGGGGAGGTAGAACTTGCTAGTCCAGGCTGGGCTTACTTGAAATATAACAAATGTTCATAACCAGGCCTGCAGACACCAGAGATCCATCCTTGCAAAGGGTGTCACATAGATGAAGGAATCCACATGGCCTAGGAGGACTAGGCAGGATCACACTATTGTCTGAGGGCTCAGTTGAAGATGGGGGATAAGCCCCTCAGTTTGGAATCTGTCTTGGGGAAGAATGCCTTGTCTGTAATCAAGTCCAAAAGTTGCTCCCATAAAATCTATAGCATGCATGGGACAATAAAGCATGTGGCTCTCTACCTATTGAAACTTTTCCTGGTGAGTTGCTGTGCAAGTGATGACAAATTCAGTACATTTTAATTTATTTTAGCATTTCAATATTCACTTAAAACTATTTAACAAATTAAACAGAAGGCCAGAGTTTATATCATTATCAAACACTGCGATTAGAACAGAAAGGAATGTGTATGTTAAATGGTATTTGTTAAAATTAGCAGTCAGGTTTTCAAAAATCAGAGTTTTACGAGTAGTCTAAAATAAAAACTTACTCTTGCAAGTACTTGTGATTCTCCTTTTACAATTGTTAAAACCGCTTACCAAATTTTAAGTCCAACACAATACAAATTTTTCATGGGCACAGCATCTTTGGGATCACAGCTTGTAACACGGCATTAACAGCTCTTGAGGATCACTGATCAGCCTTTACTAAATGGCAAGAAACACTGACTCAACTATATGACTGCCCAGCATTAGGCTACTGAGAGTGACTGAATTGTCAGACCACAGCCAATCCAAGCAGTGGGTTTTTTGAAGTCATGCTATGACATATTTTATCTGTATTTACATAAACAGCTGTGCTCCACAGTGTGAAATAAATAATGCTGGTTGAACCCAAAGCAGCTTGCTTTGTTGAAAGAACTGGATGTAGTCTAGATGCTCTGTCAACAGAAGCTGTGCGAGAGTATCTATCAACAAAGCCTCTGTCGACAAAAGCCTGTTGTCTAGATACACCTAGAGTGAGTCTGAAGAGGAGGACACTACTATGGAATTATCTTAGAATGGAGACCAAACTCCAGACTCCATCAGCTGTATCCAGTGAGTGCTCCAGTTCTTGATCTCTAAGCCCCTATCGATGATGAGACCAGACCGAGATAATGAGCTTGTCCCACCAATGTTCCCAGAAGTCCTCCAAACAAAACAGGCCTGTGTTGACACATCTAGGTTGCAGGACAGAGGGGATATATAAGTGGATGGTGTCCCTGAGGCCCTGTACATTCTAATACCACAACAAGAGATGCGGGGGCCTGAGCCAATAGTGAGCAGTGTCTCCAAGGGAACCTGCACCATCCCTGGCTCATAAGAAAGTCCCTCTACTCCTCTCAGGCCCACTCATTAGACATGACAGGGTTATGCTAGTAAACAGGCTAACTTAACATGCATCTGCAGTGGTTAGTGAAGAAGTGATACAGTTAGCTGACAGGACTGTGGCAGCCCTAGTGGGTTTCCTCAGGCCTTGTGAGGAGAACTCATGAAGTTGGGGTAATTTAGAGTCTGATTTGCTGGGACAACAAATTGTCTGGGAGAAGGATGTAAACAGCTAGTTGGTGAGGGAGAGACTTCAGAGGCAAACACACCTACTCTGCCTATATCCAGCAGATAGAGCTGTGTTGCCCAAAGTGATCAACTCTGGCTGGTGCTGGTTTACAAATTATAGTAAAATAAATGCAGGGCTAATGGGATGTTATCAGTGTGGTTGTCTTTATTGTCTGAGTAAAGGAGAGCCGCACTGTGCTTAACCAGTTCTGAAAGGACCTTGTTAAGCCAGGGGCTAAAATGGTAGATCCCTGTGAAAATAAGATGAGTGTGGTAGACAGGTGTCCCAGCCATGAGATATTGACTCTAAGGGATCCCAGTCTGGTTTAACTTCTTTCTCCCCATTATTCAAAGACAGCTAAATAGGCTCCATTAGAAGTCTTTTTTATATTAAGTGCTTACTAGAGCTAAAAACATTTGTAGTGGGACAATATTTCTGCCCAGTCTGCTTCACTAAGAACTGAAAAATCACTGGGACTCTCAAGAGACTGACCTGCAAAGGTCACAGCAGAGAGGTAGGTGGTAGAAGGTGACCAGCAAGCGGAACAGAGGCTGCAAGGCAGTCAGGTACAGAGGCTGATATGACAGCCAGGTGGTGAGGCACAGTGGCTGGCAGGATGGCCAGCCAGAGAAAGTGCTCAAATGGCAGAGCAAGCCACATGCCTTCTTCCCCAAATGGAAGGTGAACTCACAAGATGCACCTCTGAATCCTGGGCCCTTGCTGACCAAGTGGCATTTGGTGAGGGAGCAGAAAGGGACACAGTAAAGGAACTTTTGCTTGTAGAACTCAAGAACATGTCAAAGATGACACTGCCCCAGTCACTAGGGGTAGGTGTCTGGCTCACAGTTTTACTTTATGAATCCTTCTTGCAGCATTTTCTTTCCTTTGATTACAGGTTTCTTTTCTACAGTCAAGCTCTGGGTTTGAGTGTGGAAGTGTTGCCTCTCAGAGGCACCCAGTGGTGGTCTATAATTTCCCCAGGTTATTGGACTGGACTTGAGCTGGTTTTATGTCAATGTTGAAAACCCCTAGATATTGAACCTGGCCCTGGTTGCTGCTGGTTCCACATGGCATGTGGATACAGTGAATACTGCTTAAAGATAAGGATAGACACGGACTGAAACAATATGAAAGAACACACATTGCACAATATGAAATTCCATCTTGAGTTCATAAATGCTTTTCTTTTTTGTTTGTCACATATAGAAATAACCACTTGCAAAAAACGTAAAACTGAAAACTCAAAAAACATAGCTCGTTCTCAAAGCAGAATTTTAATCTCCAAACTCTCCAAAATGTCTATCTAATTGTTCCACCTAATCCAAGTTCCCAGACTTCCATCTCTACCCAAAAACTTCTCTCTGTACGGTGATCATTCAGGTGAAAAGTAAGAATTTATTTCTGGATTGGAATTAGAAGTTTTTAAATATCAGAGCTTTTAAAAAGCACTTTAAGTATGGTCAATAAGAGCCATCCAGCTTTCAATAGAATTAATTAAAATTAGTAGTTGCTGAATATTTTGTTGCTAAACATGAAAGTTTGATTTCTATATTCTGTAAAAGAGCTTCCACTTAAAATCATTTATTGATGCCAAAGTTAAAGCATTAATATATCCTGCACATCTGTACACATTAGTGATGCCAGTTAATTAAACAGTTTTTTTAAACTAACAGCCTGCCTTGCTAACCCAATGAACATTAAATAAATTTAGGCACCAATAATTTAGGCTCTAACATCATTAACCCTCCTTGACACCTATGCGGAGTCTCACTAACACCAAAAGGACTCTATAAAGATACAAATTGCTCTACTAAAAGAATGGGATGCCGGATATTTGCATTAGTTCAGTAAAATACCATGAACCAGTGAATATGTTAAAAAGAGGGTTCCATAATAAAGTCTGGATCCAGATTCATCTCCAGAACTGCACTGCCCCAAAGGCTAAAGATCAAAAGTAGATACAGCAATTCAGGAGGTTTTGAATTCAAGTTTTGAATCAAGGTTTTGGTTGAGGACCACTTCTACTTAAAAGTCTTCCACATAGGGAAAAGACAGAAATAGAATTATGGGAAAGGTTTACCTGCTTTAAGTAGTTCTCTTCTTTCAGACTGGAAATACATCTTGTCTTGAATTTGATTCAGGAGTTTCTTTTGTAAATTTTTGGCTTGTCCTGGTAGGTTAGAAAATGCCGTCAGCTTAGTAACATATAGCTGTGGCGGATGAGATGCTATCTGGGTTAACTGGGTGTCATCAGCATTTTCAACACCTACGGTGAATACGGTCACACCTGCTTTCCGAAGACCAAGAGCTGCCTCACTTACGTTGTCTTCAGAAGGTCTGTGGGTGATCAGAATGGCTATTTGCTCTATCCTTTGGGCCTTTCTACTTCCAAATCTTACACTGAAGACGTCTTTCCTTGTAGCATTAATGGCAGCACCGATATTGGCCTTCCCTTCCCTTGGAGAAAAGCCTTTTATTTTCTCCAAAATGGCAGTTTTGCTCATTTCTTCACTCAGTAGAGATAACAAACGTGGCTTGCTGCTGTATGTCACTAGGCCAATCTGTACACAATCCTTCTGCACATCAAGAGAGTCAATTGCATTTTGCAGGAATTGTTTAATATCTTCAGATTGTGGTATTGAAACCCCCTCATCTACTATGAACACAACATCAGCAACAAAATTACTCATGCAAACTGCAATGGGAAGAAAGGAGAAAAGAACAAAATATTAACTGTATTGGAGGAGTAGCCTTGTTAGTCTGTATATGCAAAAACAATGAGGAATTCCAGCATCTTGCATTTGATTTAATGGGGTTCTGCTCATGAAATCTTATGGCCAAATAAATCTGTTAGCCTTTAATGTGCCACAGGACTCCTGGTTAATACTAACAGTCTATGTCTTGGTCAATCCATAGAGAAATGTTCGCAATAATTTCCCTTATTCAGATTTATCTAGAAACACAGGAATTTGCCATACTGAATCAAATTAGCAGTGCATGTAACTTCAGCCTCCTGTCACAAGCAGCGGTTAATACCAGCCACTCTAGAGGACGCGCAAAGGAAAAGGTTCTTTCTAAGGCCCCACTAATCAGGTTTTAGTTTATGCCCTGAAACAAGAGATACTGTCTCTTGAAAATTACTCAATATTCAAGAATAGTTACAGATTCACTCCACTCACTTTCCATACACTGGGGAGTCTGGAAATAGTCATACATGCAGGCATGAATCAATAGACACTGTTTTTCAACATCAGCAGTACATGCCTTTCTGTACGCAGAAGTACTTGGGCATGTACATATCTATTCTTTTTCTTATTTTAAAAATATGCATGCCAGTTAATATTTTGTAAATTTAGCCCAAAATGTTCAAGGTGTCTTTATTTCTAGCACTGAATTACTTCTTCCAGTCTTTATGATCACAATTCATACATTGCATTTCTTACCTTCTCCTTTCTTAATATCTGCGGGTGGTTGAATAACATCTGGGGGTGGTTGAATAACATCTGGGGGTGGCTGAATAACACTCTCAATTATCTTGGTCATGTTTTGAGAAAACATACTAAGATCCCTCAATGTGCGAAACTTTTGCGAAAAGCGAGGTGTAGCCATTGACTGCAGTTCTTTAAGATCAGTATCAGGCATCCCCAGGGCTATAATTTTTACCCCATCACTTTTCAAATCATTGGCAGGCTTTTCCACATCATCCTCGGATTTTCCTGAAGTCAGAACTACTAAAATTCTGTTTTTGTCTCTTCTGCTAATTGGTCCTTTAAAATAGGCACTGTGAACTTTTTGGAGGGCATTGCCTGTTCTTACAGACCCACCCTTGAATACAAAGTTCTTTTTGACATGGTTCAGCATTGCATTCTTAGTTTTATGGGTGTCCAGCTGAAATTCAAGGTGCAAATCATCACTATATTGGGCAAGTGCAATACGGTATTGAGTAGGAGTCGCTGTTAGAAGACCGATCGTTTTGCTAATAAAAGCCTTCACAGAGGGGAACGTCTTGTCTCCCAGGCTACTAGAGCTGTCAACCAATAGGACAATATCTGCAGATGTAGAGGCTGCAAAAGTCAGAAAATTCAATGGTATTGCATACTTCTTACCCTTTATCTCTGCAATACTAAGCATAGAATCCCTCTTCAGAGTCTCATTCTGTTGTATGCGACTAAGTGGCAAAAGTTGCTTTTTGTTTCTGTCCTGATTCCTCTGTGCTTAGTTACCTGCCTGTCACAAGTGCCGATTGCCCCCACCCAGTTGTTATTCATCCTTAATCTACAGGGAAGACAACAGGAGTTGAAAGCCCTCCATTATAATCAAAAAATCACCTTGCAGCAGTGGGCTGCACTGAACTACTTTCTTATTTGCAAGTTTTTTGAACTGTGCAGCACAGCTACCCTAGCAATCATATTGATCTGTCCCCCATCCAGGACCGAATTCTACCCTAACTCACATCACATGAAATATCACAATTTGACTCTTGTACCTGGGATTTATACCAAGGACCCTAGTCTGCAGATTGTACATGTAGAATCCCAGTGAGCCAAATAGAACTCACATGAGTAGAGTGCAGGATTCTTCTTCACATACAGAGTAGTTTAATCTTCGTTACCCACTTGAAAATAATTTAATTATATGTGTGGACTTCATTTATATACTACCTGTATTTTCACCCCTGAATCTGGCTCTAATCTACAGAAGTCGGTCAAAGTTTCTGATAGAACTGATCAATCCAATATGTGAATCCATGTCCATCTCCATTAGCCAAACCAATTTCACTCTACTATACAATGTCTCATGTGGTATACAGACCCTTACATAGAGGGCTTGCCTCCATTTTTACTGGGAAAATAGTGTTTTTTTAAAAATCAGATAATACAGCACAAAGGATATAGAAATACCAGGTGTTTGAGTTACTGAAGTTTGACTCCCAATAAGGAAGAGGAACAAAGTCAGCAGCATCTTCATATTATGAATGAATGTTCGAAGCTTTAGTTCTGGAGAAATAAAATAAAAAGCCCATATATCAATTGTCAAAAGGACTCTGGAACATGACTGCATAATGCACTGGTATAAAGAAACTTACAATCCATAAATGCTGTTATAAGAACCTAAAGAAATATACATAAAGAAACAGGAAAATGGTAAAGGATACATTGTTGTCTTCCTTATCCATGACATCAGATATGAATTATTGTAATCTTATGTGTGGCACTAATGCTGCTAATCTTCCCCTTACATACCTATTTAAAATAACATTTCCATGGTGATTTTGATGACATTTCCCCTTCTTGAGTCTCCTTCTCAACTGAAGGAATGGCATCTTACTTTTGAAATCTAGTTTCTTATTATGTTCCTGACCCTAATCTTTACTGCCAGTAACACCTCTGAGCATTCACTTATCTGCTTGTTACTGAAACACCTTCCTGCTTTTTTCCAGTCCACTCCACAGGCAGGGAGGAACCTCCTGACACCTTATTCTATCTAGGGTACATCTAGACGACATCTATTTGTCAGAAAATTACACTAAACGCGCTCTGCAATTTGTGTAGCTTTTTCGGATACTTTCGTGGGAAGAGGCTTTTCCAACTTTTGGCCAGTCTAGATTGGGCCAAATGTCGTAAAAAACCTCTTTTGACACAGGAATTTCTCTTCTGTGTGTGTGTGTGTGTGTGTGTGTGTGTGTGTGTGTGTGTGTAAGTAATAGCAAATGCGTTCCCTGGACACTGTGGAGTTTTTTGGGGATACCGCCGTATCCTCTGAAATTTCTCTTTGAAACCTACCTTTAAAACAGCGTTTCCTCAAAGTGGTCCATGGGCCCACTCTGAGAAAGCTGCTACCAGGCTGCTCTGGTTTGTTCACTTACCAGCTGTGCGCCCATGGAGCTTTACAACACCCTTGGCTACAAATGGCAAACTGCAGCCAAAAGATACAAGCCTATGAACTATTGCCACCTGTGACTGACTAGCCTACCAGCCAGCTGTTACTGAAACCAAATGTGCCTGGCATTACCATTAGTTTTTCCTTCTCTCACTGACCCTTCCATTTGTCTGTCAGTTATTTGCCTATCTGGTACTTTCTAACTGCTAGATTACAACCTGTCTGGGTAGGATCTGGTACTTTCTAACTGCTAGATTACAACCTGTCTGGGTAGGGACAGTGCCTAGTACAATGGGGCCCTAACCCTGGATAAGGCTCCATAGGTGACATTGCAGTGTTCTTCAACTGGTGACTTGCCTGGGGCCTAGATCTGATCCATGAGGGCCTTCCGTTTGGCCCACTGGTCATTCTGTCCCCTGTTTCTACTGTGCGAAAGCCCCCACTACCCGGTTCCAGCTCTACCCTGAGCAGCAGGCTCCTGGCAGCTCCACCCAGTGCCCAGTCACAGCTGCAGCTTTCCCATGCTGACCTGCCTCTGAGCACCCTGCCCAGGCCCAGCACCTGCTGGGTTGGAGGACACTCTGCCAAGGGCGCCATTTCAGGAGGGGTGGGTGGGGGGATAGCAGCTGTGCACTTTGGTATGGGGCTTCCTTTTCATCCTGTTCCTCCAACACTAACAGAGTGAGGGGAAAGTGCTTGCATTGCATGCAGGCCTCTCACACCTGGCTGGTGCATTCCCTTCACCAGGTGTGAGAGCCATGCATGGAATGCAAGCACTTTCCCCTCACTCCCTGGGAACGGAATGAAAAGCAAGCTGTGTCCCAGAGCGTATGACTGATGCCCCCCTAAATGAGGAGTAACAGTTAATTCAAACTAAGGACTTAGTTCGAATTACCATTTCACTGCCGCGTGTAGCCGTGGGCAGTTACTTCGGACTAGTGGAATTTCAAAATGGCGACCAGGCGGGAACATGCAAATAAAGCCCAGGATATTTAAATCCTGGGCTTCATTTGCAACTTCAAATGCCTACATTAGCCTCCCTCGTTCGAACTAGGGGGCTAGTGTAGATATACCTCCCATACCCTACACCTCCTGCTACACCCCTTCCCAGGCCAGAATTCTCTTATACACAACCCACTCCTGGACGCTGCACCCCAATCCTCTGCCCCAGATCACAACCTACTCCTTCACTCAAACTCCTTCTCAGTTTCTGCACCCTCTCCTGCACCCCGTTCTCCTACCCTTAGCTTCCTTCTGCACCCAACCTCCATCCCAGACCTTAATCTTCTATAGAAAAGTGTGGTCCTTGACCACATAAAAAAATCTTGGAGTGGTCCCCGCCCTTCATCAAAAACTGCCCTGCTCCAAAGGAAGCACATAAGAGATGGAATCCTTTGCCCAGATCCCAATTTGGTTACGAATCACTTTGAAGCAGCTACTGCAGACTAAAAGCTAGTTGTACACCTGTTGTAGCCAGGGCTGTCCTTAGGCATATACAGAGTATGCAGTTGCATAAGGCACCAGTATTTCTGGGGCACCACTCTGCTGGAAGAAATGGGAAATAGGGAGCAGGCAACAGCAGGGCTGCTGGGTCCTAGAGAGAGCCGAATGTGATGCCTGCAGCACAGTCTGAGGGAGGGGATTGGCTGCTGGGGTCTCTGGGAAAGGGAGGGGATAAGAGTGGGGGAAGGAACTCACCCATGTGACTCTCTCCCTTAGCGTAAGGTGAGGCAGGCTGGCTGGGCGGCTCTATGGCAGTATCCTTTCTTCTTCCCTCCCCCCATGGAGCACTCTCCCTTCCCCCTTGGAGCACCCCACTCTCCCCCCTCCCTTCCAGCAGGGCTGGGTTGGGTGAGGTGCTAGGGGGAAGGAGGATTGGGTGAGGTGCTGGAGGGAAGCGGGGGGCCGGCTGGCTGCGCGCTGACTAAGGCAGGGGTGGACTGGCCGATATGCGGGGCGCTGGCGCGTCGCAGCCTAGGCCCAGCACCGGCACTTTAAATTCCCCAGCACTGGCCAGGGCACTGTGTGGGGCTGAGAGAGTGCATGCGCAGCGTGTTGAAATGCCACAGAACAGCTGAGAGGAGAGAACCTCAGCATCTTCCCTCTCAGCTGGTTTGAGCGCTGCACGTGGATGCTGCCTCCGGTAGGGTTACCAGATAGACCCCCCCAAAAAAACAGACACACTTGATCGTGGGCGGGCGGGGGCCTTGAGGCTGGCCGGGAGCAAGGGAGGCCTGGAGGAAGTGGGAGGGTGGGAAGCTGGAAGGGGGTGCAGCGGCGTTGGCCAGGGGAGATCAGGAAGAGGAATGGGCCAGCAGGAAGCAGAGCTGGGGGGCGGTGCAGGGGGGCTGGCCGGGGAAGAGCAGAAGGAGAAGTGGGCGAGAACTGGCAGGCCAGGAAGGGGGGTGAGCAAATTGGCCGGCACAGAGTGGGACTGACCCTGGCACTTGCAGATCCCGGGGCACAAGCTCCCAGCGACAAACGAGCAAGGAGGAGGCTTCCCCTCCTCCACACTCTCTTAGGGAGAAGATATTATGCAGGTTGTGATTACATATTTATGTCCCTATGAGCGTATCTGGATCTTTAAGAGGTAATTTTGGGGGAGTGGAAAGAGGGAGAGGTTACAAAATAAAAGGAAAATGTACATGTTTTATTTATATGATAGAATTTTTAAAAAATGAAGGGAAAAAGGAAGTTTGTATTGATTTCAGAAGGAAAGTGATTAAAACATCAGATATAGTCCTTTGGTGGACAATATTTGCAAGTTTTCTGTCTTTTGCTAGAATAAAAAGGGGTGGGGTACAGGAGTGAGGGCAGGGGGCTGGGAGAGTTGGGGAACTCAGGGCAGGTGTTGAAGGGTGCTGGTGTGCAGGAAGGAGGTGGGGGGCTGAGGGCGCAGGGTTTGGTGTGGAGTGTTAGGGCAGGAGTATAAGGTTGCAGGGCTGGAGTCAGGACAGAGATATGGGGGACTCTTGGTAAGGGGAAGGGGTAAGATGTGTGGGCAGGGGGCTGGAAGGTTTGTGGGGGCAGCTCAGGGCAGAAGGTGATAGAGTGAGGGCAGGAGGAGTGGATTCAGGACACAGGGTCTGATGGGGGGGCTCAGGGTAGGGAGGTGGGGGGGCAGGAGGGTGGGCAGGGGGGAGGAGTGGATTCAGGACACAGGGTCTGATGGGGGGGCTCAGGGTAGGGAGGTGGGGGGGCAGGAGTCTGGGCAGGAGGTAGAGGGTGCAGAACTCAGGAGGGAGCTGGAAGAGATTACAGGGCTTACAAGGGTGACAATGCTGTGCTGACAATTCCTCCCAGGAGGACAGAGCTTCGATTTCCCAGAACTCCCAGGATGGCATCATGGAGGTAAGTTGCTGGGGTGCAACAGCCCCTGCTGCTCAGGCAGCTCACACACCAGTTGTCCGGGGAGGAGGAGTGCAGTTGCACACTTCCCAGAGGTGCTGCAAGATTGCCAGGTACTGGTCCCAGCTGCCCCTGTCCAAACCCCCCCACAAGTACCCTGTCCCCTGCCCCACCAACATGTCACCAGCACCCAGCACCACCCTGTCCCGGTCCCCAGCACCCTGCCACCCACCGTAGCACCCAGCACCACCCTGTCCCTGTCCCCAGCACCCTGCCACCCACCGTAGCACCCAGCACCACCCTGCCCCTGGACCCAGCACCCTGCCACCCACCGTAGCACCCAGCACCGCCTTGTCCCTGGACCCAGCACCCTGCCAGCTGTGCCAGCATCCTTGGGACCCCATTAGTGAGGCTTGGGGCTTTTTTTTTTTTTTGGCATCTCACTTGTGTAGCCCCAACTGACTTTTCTGTGTGTCAGTGACCTTTGACTCCAAACAGGTTCCCTGCCCCACTCCTGCATCCCCACATCCTCAGCCTTCTGCCACAACAGTCCTGCACCATCCACACATGGTAAATGTGTGTCCTGAGCCCATCATACTCCCAGCCTCCCTGCCCCTGAGCCCCTCATACACCCCAGCCCAAACTCCTGCACCCTCACAGCCACAAGCCTGTGGCTTGCTCTCAGCACCCAAACCCTCCACCTGACCTCAACACTCTCCAGCCTGCAACCCCGTCCCCGAGCCAGCATCCCCTTCTCCTGCACCCAAAT